AAAAAAAAATAAAAATGTCACGAATGTGCAAAATTGATTTTTGTGAGAGCGTAGCACGTGATAAACATCAATTTTATATGTAAAAAATGTTTCTTTCATTACGGAACATTGTTGATGCGTTCAATTAGTCGCGTTCATGAGTGCGTCTAACGACGTAAAGAATTGAAATGAACTTCACTGAATGCGCTCATCGCAAATTCGTGTTTTACTTTGTTTTGTTAGCTTGGTGCAGGGGTTGTGTTTTCAAATCCTAGATGGGAGGTAAGACCGGAGACCCCCCTCCTTGCACACGTCTGTATATGGCCATTATTTTTTGTCAGAATGTTGCCTGTGGTGAGATGTCAATCTTCCGTCAAGTGTCTCTCCGTCAGTCACAGCCTACCGCAAAATTAATTCAAATTACGAAAAAATCAAATGATAATTTTTTCCAATTCAACAATTAGATTTTAATTTTTTTTAAATACATCATCAAAAATATGTTTATATTCGACCGTCTCAGTAAAACGAACACATTAGGTCGGTGTTTGTTTGCAGAATACATCAAATTTACCATATCATTCTGTACATGTTTGCATTTCAGTTTTTCAGCATTGTCATCATTGCACTTTTGTGTAAATACATCTGCTACAAAATGCATGACGTCCGAGAAAATATGGTTTTAGCTGGAATCATACTAGATGCATGTACAATATGTGTATTTACCAGGGGTCGCAACTGGGACTTTTTCGGACAAAATCGTTTTTTCTCAGAATTTGATGAAACTTTGGATTTATATGTTTCAGACCGAAAGGAAAAAACAATTTACCTCGGAAGTGAGGCATTTTGTAGCATATATATTCACACAAAAGTGTGAATTTTCATCAAATTCTGAGAAAACAAAATTTTTCCCGAAAAAGTCTCGGTCGCGACCCCTGGCACTTACCATAGCTGTTTAGCTATTTAGCTTTAGTTTTACTAAAAAATTTATCGCAATTTTTCGAGCCTTTATTACGAATCGTTTCGTATTGAACAATGAACTGCTGTACATTCAAGAAGAAATGAACCGTGCATCGAAAATGATTACAGTTTAGATTTAAAATATTTTTTTTTCTTGAAAGGTGCATTTCAAACTATTTTGTTTTCTTTTAATTAATTGAAGATAACGGGACTCGTGCTGTTGAAAAAAATAACGAAAGTGTTCAACCAGATTGAAACACTACACACTGTATCTATCATTGAAAACTTTAAACGACCGAAATCCTACGCCATATAGATCGAGTTTTGTGATAGTGTTCAAGCATATATGAGTTGCGAATATGAAGTCTCTATATATATTCCAATTTATATTCCATTGAGAATACATATGAATAATAATCCGAAATTGATTTACGTTGAACGCAAGGGCAATCATTTTTTTTCAAAACTCGGATTACACTACAATTGTAAATTCAATTTTGTGTTATTGGTAGATTGAAAAATTGACAAAGTGTAATTAAAAAAAGTTATTGTTTGTGATTCAATTGTCCTCGACCGAATAAATATTAGCATTAACCGAGAAATAGTCTGTCGTGATACACTGAAATTGATTAATTAAAACTGAAAATAACTTATTAACTTAATGAAACGTGTCGAAAAATATCATGAAGTCGTTATTTAAGCCAAAATTAAGAATTCGTTTCATCACTTTCATTGGTTATTCCTTGGTGTGCGCTGTAATTTTAATTCTTTTAGTTTTTCAGCTGAATTTGAATTTAAATCATAAAAGTTTTCTTGGACATGTTGACACAAAACATGAAATCCAAGATTGGTGGCACACAATCGTCAAAAACAGCGGATCACCAGATATCAATGTTTCAATTAAAGCACATGATTCATTCAATGACTTACAAGTTTTGACGATAGAACCGCTCGATGCTAGTCAATATGATAAATATGCAGATGTTATAGTTTCATCATCGTCGATATCAAAGGCGGCTCAAAATCGAAACAATTTCAATGAACTTCGGTTGATTATCATAAAAAATGGAAGCAGTTTGAATCGATTTCATCGTCATATCACTAGATTCGATATGTATAGTGAAGAAAATGCAAAAATTGTTAGTGAACTACTTAAAGACATGGCAACACAGCCAATTTTGCACGTTGAACAGAAAACGGGTGGTACCCAACTAAAACTGGTGATAACTTATCAAAATAAGATGAAAGCATTATTTAAACCAATGCGATTTCCGCGTGAGCAACAAACACTTCCGAATCATTTTTATTTTTCGGATTTTGAGCGTCACACAGCAGAGATAGCTGCATTCCATTTGGATCGGTTATTGGGATTTCGACGAGCTGTGCCTGTTACCGGGCGCCTATTGAATATAACGAGTGAAATTTTTCAGAAGACAGATGCTGAATTAATGAAGACATCGTTTATTTCACCCGCAAATAATTTATGTTTTCATGGAAAGTGTTCATATTACTGTGATACAAGCCATGCAATTTGCGGTCAGCCGGATACGTTGGAAGGTTCGTTTGCCGCTTTTTTGCCAGAGGAAAGTGAGCGAAAAATTTGGCGCCATCCATGGAGACGATCCTATAGCAGAAAGAAGAAAGCCCAATGGGAAAGTGATAATAAATATTGCGAGAAGGTTCGACGAGACCCGCCTTATGATGAAGGAAGAAGATTACTCGATCTGATTGATATGTCAATTTTTGACTTTCTCATGGGTAAATTGGTCATTTTGAGATTGGCCCTAAAGTTTCATTAATTTTAATTGAATTTTATTGTTTCTTCTATGGTTCATTCCTAGGCAACATGGATCGTCATCATTATGAAACGTTTCGTATGTTCAACGATTCATTTACCATTCATTTGGATCATGGCCGTGGATTTGGCAAAGCATTTATCGATGAAATGAGCATTCTGGCACCACTATTACATTGCTGTCAAATACGCTCATCCACATTGAAGACTTTGTTGGATATTCACAATGGCAACGAACCGTTATCAAAATCATTGAAAAATGCGATGAGCAATGATCCCATTGGTGTGTATTTTAATCGACCACAATTTGGTAGTTCAAATTCTTAATAATTAATATTCTATAACTTAATTTCCAGCACCAATACTCTGGGAACCACATTTGAACGCCCTGGATCGCCGCGTAGAGATAATCTTAAATGGAATCCGGAACTGTATACGAAACGTACAACATGCTAAGGATGAAATTGAAGAAACTTCCGAAGTGTAATTTGGAGAGGTTGAATTTCATGCAAATAAAATTAATCAAAAAAAGGAGAATGAAGACAATTGCATATTGCACAGTCGAACGTTTTATGTCAAATTACATTTTCCATTTCTTCTATGAGCGAGATTCATTACACAAACATATATCGAGTTGGCACTCTCTATATGTTTGGCAAGTGCAACAAAACGAAAGAAGGCTAAAACCGACTACATTGATTCATTGACTCCAAAAGTTTAAATGTTTTCAACATCAGTACTTGCGCATTCAACGGATCACTAGTTTCCTTGTTCTGAAATCATTATTAACAGCATCGAAGTCAAGCCGACAGTTTGGCTAAATCCACCGCAGTGTCTGTATTAATGATCTAGAACCATCTAAGTCATAGCTTACAAATGGTACAATTCAAACTGAATCCGCTATAATTTTACCAAATGACTGCTCACAACGTCATTTCAAACGGGCAATAAATTTAGATGAAAAATGAAAGGTTATCACAGTCCCACAGATAACCTTTTTTAGACAGAGAAAAGTGTGGGCTCGTGTGAATGTATAAGACTCCATGATGAAACATAAATTCAGATGTCTGAGTTGTTGCCTCAAAAAGTATTCATTGAAGGTTATATAGTCTTGTTATCGATAGACAAGTTCAAACAATCAAACTGTGAATGTAATTTTTGTGTGTTTTTCATATTTTTTTCCATTCAATTTGTCGGTTATAATAATTGAAAGTACCTTCGAAATTTTTGCAAAATAAAAATCATGAAACTCTCAGAATGAAATGAGCGGAGGGAGCAAACAGTACTCAACAATTAAAATACTCTGGCATATGTTAAATATTCATTGACCAAGAGATTGAGTCAATGATAAGGGATTGTTATTCATGACAAGTATTTCACAAATTGGCTGTTAATGGACATAAAACTGAGTAAGGATTGGAATAAAAATTAATTGAAGCGCGATGAAAAAGTGAAACGCCATAACTATAATATCGTTCTTGTTCGTTTACTAATGAAGAACATATACTTTGTATACTACAAATTTGTACCATTATCTCAACCATCACATACCACAAGAATTTCCCCTCTGTTTCCATAGCGTTACAACTGAATGGATATGACTGAATGCTCCAAAAGCATGAACTTACATAAAAGAAATGGCCTCAAAACACTCATTCACATCCTAGTAGAATAAACCTAATCGAAAATTCAGTTTATTTCAAATTCTTTGTGTACCTAGGCAAGAATGGAAGAACGACGACCGAATCAGTGGGTTTCAATCGAATTGTTTGTTTTAGCTTGATATAAAATGAAAATCATAATCAATTTTTCATCAAACGGAAATTTGAAAAGATTTCTGTTTTTCTCTAGCAAGTATTTTACAGAACACTGCCGATGTTTGTGTTGATTTTCACTTTTGGTTATAAATATACAATTCTCATTTGAAGCGAAGACAGTTCATATTTTTATGTTATACTACTAGGAAAAGTATTGAACCAATTTTGTTTTGTTCTATTTTTCTTGTGCCAGAAATTGTCTACTTTATAGATTCAATTTCCAAGGATTTTTCTCCACCGAAAAAAATTTCAATAATTTCCTGGACCTTACTGGTGCACCCTTCTCGGACATACTGACCATTGAAAAAGTGGGAAAATATATTCATGTGAATGCCTCAAATTATGATTACCTAGATAGCATGTGCTCCATTTGATTGAATTAATTCGCGTGAATTTGAGTGTCATGCAATCCACTGGAGTACTTTGGACAAAAAAACTTCTTGTTAAGGTCTCTCCTTTCGATTTTACAGTATATACCTGGTAGTTCCGCATATTGAATTAAATAATCTATTGTTAGGAGCCTGATTTCAACAAGGAACGATACCAAAGCTAACAATGTAGATTATTTGATCCCATATGACTGAAATAGTTCTAATTTGAATACCCGTGACCGCTGCTTGTCAGTTCAAGAAGAAACTTCTAACCCATTAACCCGGGTCCCGTTCATGGATTCAAAGGAACCCAAACCATACTTTTAATATAAAATGTCGCAAAAACGGTGAGTCTACGCGATTGTTGTCCATATTTTGGTGAATATTCGGAAAAATTCAATCTACTATCTCATACAAACAACATCGAAATTAGTTTAGCATTCCTCTTATGGTGTTGGATATTGCAGCCTTCATACAAAAAATCACTCATACAAGAACGTATATCCATTTTCGGTCTTGCCTTGATGGTATCAAGTTGCTGCCATTATGTTTTTCTAAATAATTTTTTTTTTCACTTGTTATTTTTCCTTCGTGGTTCCGTGCTGATTTATTGCTTAGTTGGCTTTATGCGTTATATTCTCATCGAAATTTAGACAAGTCATGGTTAAACAATATATTAAACTCGCACCGTTCATATATCCTTATTTTTGCGGGTTGCGGTTGCAAAATTCAGGCAAAGTGCTGTACACTTTAGGTAAAATGCTTCTCATAATTATTAAAAATTTGGGCGATACCCACACTCCATATAGCACCATGCGAATGGAAGATATTACTTGTATATATATTAAGTGAAAATTGTAATAAATAATAACCAGGGATGCTTATGGGAAATTCACTGTATTCTAATGATGATGAAATGTTCCAGAGGTTTTACAGTGAATGTATTACTAGGGGGAAAAATCATTTTTTTCATCTTTTATATCCGCACGCATCAAGAAGTAACTTAGAAATTCAATGGTATGCATGTAAATCCGAAATATCCATGTATATTCAACAATATTCATCGTGAACGACAAATGAATATTACTGAATATACATAGATATGTCAAATTTATGTGTATACGAATGAAAAATAAAATTAATAGTGAATCAATCCTTCAACCGTAAATTTGATTGGTTTTGGTAGATAACGGTGAATATTGGAACATTTTTTGTCATTACAGTCTAATGAATATTATTGAATATACATAGATATTTGAGATTGACGTGCATACCAGTAAATTTGTGCAGATTGTATCGTCAAAAAATGTTCCAATATTCATCGTTATCCACCAAAAACCTTCAAAAGTGGTTCAAATTTTCGGTTGAAGGTTTGATTCACTATTATTTTTATTTTTTCAGAGTTATTTGTGTTCTGCAAAATCGCGTGAAGCCCCTAGGTATTGTGTTTGTTAGGGTAGCTTGCATTAAACTAAGTGGCGTTTTTTTGTATGTTTTGATAATGGTATAAACTCAAGTATCTCATCCCAAGCGCTTATTTCCGTTCTTCTTGAACTGAAAATTAATCATAATTTGTGGATTTACACCACAAAAAAGATGAATTGAAGTGGAACAAATCACGACGTTGTTAATCCGACGTTCGGGTCAAATCAACAAACAATATTCTATTGAGCTTGAACTTATGAATATTATCTTCACGGTTCAAAAAAGAATAAGCTCAAAGATATAACGAAATCTCCCAATAAATATTGTGTTTAGTCTGTGGATCGATCAAAATGACATTTTTTCCATAAATGATTTATATATATATATACAAAGAATTTCATCATCTGACTAGCACCAAATTTCCCCAATTTTTGTTTTATTTTTCCGTTTGAATGATACTTTCCTAGAAAACAAAATGCTAGATATTATTGTTTTTTATGTTATTGCGACGCAAGTTTCTGTACTCAACGATCAAATATATCGGAATGAAAATTGAACTTATGTATTATGTATACAGTAAATGTTTACACCATTTGAATGCAGAACTTCTCCACATACTCTGACTATTTATGTCAAAATATCGCAATTGTTTATGTCAAAATATCGTCCACACAATGCACAGAAGCATATTATTTGCAAAATTTGGCTTGCCCAGAATTGTTTAACGGTATATCTCAACAGCTAATTGAAAAAATTCACACATATGAAAATACGAGAAAAAGCATTGATATCATTGAAATTAAAAAATGCATATATTATCAGCCATCTTTAGTGAGGTTAATTGAAGTAAAATCGATTCTACATCTAGGTCTTGACCTTTTCAAAAATACATGATGTTCAGTAATTCGAGGGTTTGAATTGACATTTTTATAAAAGCAGTAGAATTACGGAATATGGAAAAGATAGTTTTACGAACGTATTTTTTCGTATTCGACCCTATGAAAAGTGAATCAATTGCAACTATAGCGCCACACTACCGCTTAATACAAAATGTTATTCAGATAGTTTCATATCACGGGCTTGAACGCACTTCAAAGAAAATATCAACCGTTTTTCCTCCAGTGTGAGTACCAATTTGAGTGTTGAATGTACTCGATGCACGTGATGACCGATGGCGCTGCTGGTAGTTTGACAGTTATAACTCAGCACTATAGATGTGCCGCATAAAATTGAAAACGCATAAAATCGATCAATCCATATGCTCCGTGTAATATATGGAAAGGAAACTATGGAAAGTGTAAAGGAACCGTGGATCTTATTTATTCACGTGGGACATTATCCATTCTGAGATTGATATGCAAACATCGGTGGAATGTGACGCTGATGGTTGCGCTAAGTGTGAGATTTTTCTTAATGAAAATTGAATTTGGTTCGTTTTTATGACCGTAACATGATAGAAAGTGAGCACATCGACAAATGAAACCAAGCTACGTGCCAGAGAGGAAAACCACTAAAAGAAAGCGGTTTTCCTCAACACCGCCAACAACAATGATAACAGAAAAAAACAACAAGCACTGGCGAAAAAAGACATAAAACACGAAAAAGCGATTGAAGCGAAGATAAAGTTGCCGCATCACGTTCGAATTCATGCATACAAATTCCTTCGGCGCTCGCCTCTAACACTGTCTTTGGCGTTCTTTTCATTCTTACAACTGGATGTTTACTCGCATGTTTTCATTGCTGATTTCTGTAGCCGAAGAGGAGAAGAAGTTTTGATCAAGACACGTATTCATCTGAAATTTAAAGCAAAAAATTTAACGTGATGTCTATGAATGTAGCTTGCAAACTATATAGAAAAAGAACGCCTCGCAATCGTGGCTCGTGTGGTCTCTCTTTTTTGTTGGTTGCTTGCTCCACTCCATCCGTTTCGGAGCTGATGCGAGGATTGAGTTTGGTAACATAATTTATAAAACCATATTCGACGAAATCTAATTCATGACGCAAATATTCTTCAATACATAACAGCAATTCCCATTTCATGCCAATCTGTTGACTGTTCCTTTCCTACTTAATTTTTTTTGCTTATGTTTTTTTTATTCAATTTCATTTTACCCTTTTTCTAGAGGTTCTCCAAAAAGTTTATGGTGAAGTTTGCTTATCTTAATGTGCATGAAAGACTTTGCAAATGCAAATGGCACGCGAAGAAAACAACTAAAAATTTTGTTTGTTGTGTTGGGAGTAGTGAGATGGAGCTTATTTGTGTTTGTATTTTCTGTTTGGGACTTCAATTATGGGTTGGTATCGTCGTCGCGAACCGCAAAGTAAGCTGTTTTTGTTTAAAAACACTGAATACGGGTTTTTTCTCCATCGTTTCATTCCAAATTTGGCTGAATTTTTCCTTATTCGTCCCAATGCTGGCTGGCTGGATCGTCTTCTTCTTCTACTTCTTCTTCATTATTATGACTCGTTGTTTTATAGCTGACATTTTTAGTCCAATGAACTGGTTAGTCATTCTGAAATTGTTGGGTGAATATGCCTGCATTATGTACAGCGCTTGCTATTTAAGGACAAATAAATTCTACTATCCCGACAAGTGACAGTGACGCAAACTAACGCAAAGCCGTGCTTCATTTAACACAACAATCATTAATTATAAAAACGAGAAATCAAGATCGAGGAGAAGTTTTTTGTTCGCTTGTTTATTTCTTATAACAAAGTGCAATTCATTCTGAGTGTACGTGAAGCTGCCGCCACTAGCATGCTGTTTTCGCCACTCAGCTCGATCCCCTTCC